TTTTATATCAAAACAAAAGGGAAGACATCATGAATCCATACAATAAAAATCCGTATTTCATGATGTTGGATGGGATAAAAGATTTAATTTCCGTATTAACATCACTGACAATCGTATTGAAATTATTTACCCTTCAGTAGCTACGATAAATTTGAGAAATGTATCAAATTGTTGAAGGTATACAAAGTATTTCTTTTGATTGTTAGAAGTTAGTTTTACTGTGGTGGGACCTTAATAAATAGTGTACTCTTATCATGTGTAAGACCGTGAAATAATCTCATAAAATGGCGAGTTCATTTGCCATGGCCTATCGACTATAAATATATATATTTATTACTCGAAAACGTCGCAAGCTCTAGACTGGAAAACGAATCACATATAATTGCCACAAAACACAATTACAATTTGTTCTTTAACAAAGCGTGAAAATGGGCACGACCTCTCATTACTGAATCTCTTTCAATGAAACGCTTTGAACGGTACAGCTGTCTCTACTATGGTTCTATTGAGTTTTTATTCCACTAGATGTGTTACAAACCGGAAGCTGCGCACATGTCACATTTTCAGCTATTCTATGATTGACTGCCCGAGGTGGGGATCCTGTAACATCCCTATGAAGGACACTTAAGTAGGATATACGCTGTATCTCTTTTCTATTGATCCTGGCGTGTTCAACCAATAGCCGTTTTCTATTGTATGATTAGAAAAGTAGACATTTGATCAACTGGCTGTTTGAAATTCTATAGAAATTCTTTTTGTTGCACGAATCAAGTCAATGGCTATCATATTTCTAAAGAACTAGTAATGTGATATAAACTGTTACAATTTGACATTGACATTCTGTGTGTGCAATAATTCAATAACGACATAATTATAAATAGTATTGCGGTATAGGGACCCGCCGCTATAAGTGAATAGAGTATATAGCAAAAGATAATATTAAATGCACAAATTATTCATTGTTAGTTTGTTTATTAGAAACTTACAAACTCTATAAACATTAGATAATTAGTGTAAAGATATATATATCCATACATTATTAATAATATATTTTTTTAAAGATTATATCTCGTGTATATTACTATTCGATGCTAATTGAAATGTTATTGGGTCAATTTTGATATTCTAAAATGCTTTTCTTGTTCTTATAATTGGTATTGCAGGAAAATATTGAATTCGAAAACGGTCTGTTTTCAAATGTAACGAAATGGTGTACTAGCAATTACTTTCTTTATAGTCTCACAGAAGTCAATTGAGCGTCACTAAATGCCACAATTCAATATTGAATATGAAATTCCTTGTCGAACTCAAACATATTAGAATGTTATTCAATTGTTTAGGAAAGGAAAACACAGACTCTGGATTTGGCATATGAAACAAAACCAAAACAAGTAACACAAACCAACACGATTGAAGACAAATGCCGACCGGGCAAGACAGTTAACACGTTTTCATGGCGTTGAATAAAAACATTTTGATTACTAAATTTCTAAGATGTAATGTCCCGACAATTCGGATCGATATTAGATTTGTTGGCAAATGCGTATGAAGTAATTTATACAACAATTTGTTGCTGTAATTGACCTAATTACTATAATTTTTGATATGTAAAATGTATTAATTACATTCTGCGCTACATTCGGTTTGACGCCATAGTAGTATTAGTAACGTTGCTTTATGTCATCATAAGAATGGACCATCAGTCTGAAAAAAAAACGTTCCTCTTGTCCTGCCATTGTTGCCACAGTAGCTACTTCCTGTACCATATCTTATTAAATGTGTATCACAGTGTTTTTTTTATAAAACATGTTTCATACATATTATGTTGAATGCATGGACGCCATTATAGGCGGATTGGTTCAGTGGTTAACTCTCCGTCCTTCTAAGCAGGCGGCCGGGGTTCGATCCCCGAAGTCGCCGAACGCATGGAATATTAGAGAAAGTGTTTTTCTCCTGCCCATACAACTCCAACAACCCAGGTGGAGTATGAAATGGTCTGGGGTGGGTGTTGCGGTATCTGTGCTGTAGCATTCAAGTGACACTATAAATGATACCGTTGGAAGAACGGTCCCACTACAAACAGAACACAATATAACTCCAGCACACACAGGCATACACACATAGGGAGATATTAGCCAGGTGGCATAGGACTAGCAGTTAGCGCCTGATAAGGCAGCTCATGCGAATTCCTCGATATTGTAATGATTAATATATATATGCTTATTGCACTGACTGTATAAAATTGTATATCTATGTACTGTAAAGCGCTTTAGAGTGGCTTATGTTAGCTAGATAGGGCACTATATCAAATGTTGTATATTTATTTATTCATTTTTATTAGGGGTAATTACGCATATGTTTCATTTCTAGTTTCTATTTTTCTTAATAACTATCTTGCTATTAGGTTTGTTTGTTTGGGGTTTAACGCCCTCGCAACAGCCAGTGTAATATGAGAACGGGTGCCGAGGGAGACAACAGCCAGTGTAATATGAGAACGGGTGCCTAGGGAGACAACAGCCAGTGTCATATGAGGACGGGTACATAGGGAGACAACAGCCAGTGTAATATGAGGACGGGTGCCTAGGGGGACAACAGCCAGTGTAATATGAGGACGGGTGCCTAGGGAGACAACAGCCAGTGTCATATGAGGACGGGTACCTAGGGAGACAACAGCCAGGGTCATATGTATGAGAACGGGTGCCTAGGGAGACAACAGCCAGTGCCATATGAGAACGGGTGCCTAGGGAGACAACAGCCAGTGTAATATGAGAACGGGTGCCTAGGGAGACAACGCCTGAAGTAGAAAGTAGATAGAAAAGAAAGAAGACAGGAAAGGCAGGAAAAGAAAAAAAGATACCAAATGGTGCAATAGTGTCAAGAAATCAATGTTGGTTACCTCCATGTTCCCTTCAAAGAAGTCACAGAACAACACCCCCCCCCCCCCCCCCCCATTCTTTAGGGGGCCCCACCCACGTTAGTAGCATTTGACGATACACATGCAGTGGGATAAAGCAGGGTTACTCTTGCTAAAAGTAGAAAGTTATACAAGTTATAAAAGGCACTGTCTTTCCCAGGAAAGCGAACAGACAAGACAATCCCGCTAGCAATACGCTTCTGTCAAAACAGGGAAATTACAAAAACAGTTACCAGAAAATTATGGTAGAATCCCCAACCTGTGCATCAGTTATGACGATGTGTCTTGTGACGTTATAATAAATGTTATATTTAGACACAGCTTCTTAATCGAAGAATGATTAAAGGTTTAACTAAACGATTTCCATTACTATTTAAATGATTAAACCACTTCTTGGAGGATAGACAAGAATGCATTCTGAAATTTCTCAGAATCTATTGGGATTGCTGTGAGGTATAACAGATGAAAGTTGTTTTCTTTGTACTTGTTAACGAATTCATATACAAGTTAAAGTATCCCTCAATATTATGAGTACGACAATTCTCGTAAACACTCATTACTAATATAGTTCGGCCTCAAATAGAATGGATATGGGCGTAGGATTTCTCCTCGCTTAATTCTGCGTAGTTAAGTCATATAAATCACCCTCATACCCAACAATTACTTTGTTGAACATAACAGATTCTGGGTTTTGCCGTGTGATTTTCTCGTACATTCTTAATGATTTTACAGTTGCGTCGTTTTGGTTCCCATAATTAAGTTTTGCTTTGGTTTTAATGAAAACTTATGGTTGTGCCATTATTTCCAACGTTGGGATTATTCAAAGCAAGGGTTTGAACCCCAGGAGACAATTCTTAATTTGAAATAAGGCTAGTAGTCACGAAACTTGGTAGATTTTAGTATATAACTAACAATTATGTAAAATTGTATATCTCTCTACTGAATATAACAATTTAGTTTACATTCATGACATTTTCTTATTTTTGAAATGATTTCTGAGGATTACGTAAGAAGCCGTCACCACTGGGCTAAAACCATCCTTTTAGTTTGACTTCGATGAAAAACCCCACATTGCTTATTGAATCAGAGCGGGTAATTTCTTTTGTAAAATAACCGACGTAATTTGTAATTACATCTTAAACTGGAATAAGCTCCCGTATGAAGAAAACCGTTTACATTCTCTTATTTAATGACAAATAGAATACAAGAAATAACTGTCTTGCCTTAGAATAAGACATTTCTTAAGTATATTAGATCACCCAGAATGGTAGAAACAGGTGTATATCGAATTTTCGTAATATCCGAAAGTTCACTTGAAAGGTAAGTTATAGTATATCTTCATTTATAATAAAGTAAGTTAATCCAATATTAGATTTAGATATGTTTTAAGATTGATTTCAATATCTTAAATGTTTATCGTTGTTGCTCAACTAAAATTTAATGGTTTTGGAGTAGTGAAGAAAAAAATGTATTTCAAAAAATAATTATCGAAACTGCATCAGGATGTTGCCCCTAAAATTCATATCATAGAGTCGTTTAAAAATGGTTGTCAATTAAACTGTAATAAATAGATTCCACATGGCACACGCAATGTTTAGAAGACACAAAAGAACAACAGTTCGTATGAACGACATTTACAGGAAATATTAGCAGACATGATATGACAGGAGAAAATTAGCATTATTTCCGTTAAAAAGATTGCGTTACGTCTTTATCGAACGAGTTAAAGATCAAGACGAAACCTGTACGATAACGCATAATTAAAGTTTAGAACTTGTCGGTTAATGAAGAGAAAAATTTGCATATGATAATAACATGTTTTACCGTTAACTGCGAGGAGTAGATAGACCATCGCACTTTTATTGTCGTAGTGAATATATCAATATGGTGTTGAGGGGGTAGCAGTATATGTCAGCCAGTCTGACAAGCTGTCGATGTAATCCCGATTCTTTTTAACAGGATGAAACATCTCACTGAAAAAGACAATGACTTTGGCCAAGATGTGCCAAGTTTTTACCCCATGCGGTTGTGATCGGAAAGGCGCCAAAACTACCCGCCCAAGCACGTCTGCTAAACAGGTACCACATATCCGGTTACTTGCAAAGAAAGAAATATATATATATAAACAATGTTTGAAACAGACTGCATCTTACTTTTTTTTTTTTTTTACCTTTAAAGCGTTCTTAGGAAAATGTGCCTTGGTACGGCTATTTTTTTCAAGATTTGGGCAACATATATGCAAAATAATAATTATGTTTTTATAAACGTATTCATAACAACCATAATTTTGTGATGACGCTAAAGATGTTTAAGAGATAGTGTGGAAAGTGGCGGAGCTGCTTGTAGATCGCTGGTTCTTGGTATAATCGGTACCTGTACAAGTACCCAGCACCCCAGTTCTGATCGAAATCTTAATGCACCCAGGCTAATGTACAGCGATCTGAATCTCCGCTGGGCAAGTTTGATTATATCTTAGCATAATGGACACCAGTAGGTGTATTCCTAGCTTGCACAGACACGAATTTGGGGAGCAACGCCATATGGATAACTATGTACAAATACCTTGTAGAAGATTACTTGGTATAGATAAACAAGTGTTGGGTAGGGTAAAATGTGACTTGTTTAAAGAAGAGCAATCTCAAGCTTTAAGACGAAAGTAGAACATAAGTTTCAAGGGATGTCCAATATGGTGCCGGAAACCTTTACTATTCGGATCAGTTGGTTTCGTCATCATCTTGTTTGGTCTCCTTTCTTTGAGTTTTTTGTTTCAATCTATTTATCCTGCTGTGTTGACAATATTTTGGCGGAGTGAGTTGTCGCCGTGGCATACATTGTCGATGTTTGTTGACGCCGTGGTATACTTTGTCGATGTTTGTTGACGCCGTGGTATACTTTGTCGATGTTTGTTGACGCCGTGGTATACTTTGTCGATGTTTGTTGACGCCGTGGTATACTTTGGCCCTTTCATCACCTGGGAGCAGACTAAACCAGATGCTGCAAAATACTTTTCTGGAAAAAGTGAAGATAGTAACCTCACAATAGTTCATTTTCCTTCTCCTTGTAGTACCATTTTACTTGCTTACGGAAATAACATGCCTAACGATACCTTATCGCATCATTAGGGTAGTCCAAATAGTGGAGTCCTCTTGTTCTTTGACTTACGCGTGATACATGTTGTCTACCAGAGATGCTTCAACCTACGCAGAAGAAAATACAGTCGTCTTCGTTAATTTGAGCTACAATCATGAAGTTTTTATTCGACAGTTATAAAAGATCCGGTGGTTTTTAATCGTTTGAGGCGAGACTATCTTCAACTTTCATTTTTTAAGACATGCCAGTATTACTGTCACACGATGGGCTGAATGCCTAGCTTACCCAACTCCCGATTCTACCTTGAATATATCTGTATATACGCCTTTCTCTCAGAAAATAAATTTATGTTTCGATGATATTAGATAAACACTGCAGAATATTATATATAGATGACACAGCGTAGCGGTCTGTTTCTATAAATCAATATGAAATATAATCTATGTTTAACAATACAATTTATAACAATCTTTTGTTTTATAAAAGAACAGTGTAGAATACTTACATTTTCATATGATACGGGTTGAAGTGTTCTAAAGAATAGAATACTCTTAATTCTATAATAAAATATGGAATATTTAACCGTTTATACAGTACCGAATAGCATTTTCTTCTGTTCTTTATAATAAAGATTACTTAACCGTTTTTTCAAAGTTTGAAGAGAGTTTTTTTGTTCATATGATAAAGAATACTTTACTGTTTTTTTACACTGTATAAAGAGTATGCTATTTCTCTACAGTCTTTATTATAAAGAATACTTTACTGTTTTTTTACACTGAATAAAGAGTATGCTATTGCTATAAAGTCTTTATGATAAAGACTCCTCTACTGTTTTTTACACTGTATAGAGAGTATGATATTTCTCTATAGTCTTTATGATAAAGACTACTCTACTGTTTTTTTACACTGTATAAAGAGTATGCTATTTCTCTATGGTCTTTATGATAAAGACTACTCTACTGTTTTTTACACTGTATAAAGAGTATGTTATTTCTCTATAGTCTTTATGATAAAGACTACTCTACTGTTTTTTTTACACTGTATAAAGAGTATGTTATTTCTCTATAGTCTTTATGATAAAGAATACTTTACTGTTTTTTACACTGTATAGACAGTATGCTATTTCTCTATAGTCTTTATGATAAAGACTACTCTACTGTATTTTTACACTGTATAAAGAGTATGTTATTTCTCTATAGTCTTTATGATAAAGACTACTCTACTGTATTTTTACACTGTATAAAGAGTATGTTATTTCTCTATAGTCTTTATGATAAAGACTACTCTACTGTTTTTTTACACTGTATAAAGAGTATGCTATTTCTATAAAGTCTTTATGATAAAGACTACTCTACTGTTTTTTTACACAGTATAAAGAGTATGCTATTTCTCTATAGTTTTTATGATAAAGAATACTTTACTAAGTTGATTGTGTGGAATGCTCTAGTGCTTTTATAATGAGAATTCTCTTCTGTTTTTATAACGAGTATGGATGGCTGTTCTGTTTTTATAACGAGTATGGATGGCTGTTCTGTTTTATAAAAAAGAGTACTCTACTGATTTTACAAAACAGTAATAAATAAGTTTATTTTGATAAAGATGATTAATTGACTTTTTTATATTTCACTATACGATTTTATCAATACAGTTTATAAGATGCTGTAGTGATCCTCGGTTCAAAAACATCATACACTGTCAGTGTTGTCAGTGTTGTCATTGTTGTCAGTGTTGTCAGTGTTGTCATTGTTGTCAGTGTTGTCATTGTTGTCATTGTTGTCATTTGCTATAACTTACCTATAGCTTGCTCTTCAAAAGTGGTCTATTTGACAAGTTTTACCATTTTCTGTGTTCATATCATTACATCTTGCACCTGATTCCCTGAAAAGGTAAATTAAATATTTGATTTTTTTTTTCTTAAATTACAATCTTTGAACATATTTTTATGAAAAGCTGTCAGTTTTATTTCAATTAAGATCTACAAGATAAAGGCTGTCAGGCAAGTGATATGCATCATGACCCACTGTAGATATGTGTGTAGCGATAGAAAGAAAACATGCGATCGAGGACACACAGTCAAACACGCACGCTCACGGGATCTGTCGTATCGAACACGCCTCGCGAGTACCGACATGTGATGTGTATCGAACAAGTCCTTCTTTTTACCCGATACGACGAAAAGTACACGGAGTCCATTTAAACAGATAGCAAAAGCTTTCCCCATCTAATTTATCTGACACACCATGCTGGGACAAAGCTGAAATAACCTGACAGTCCGAACTAGAAGTTTTACGGGGTCTAATGGTTGGACTGATCAATGATATCGCTTAGGCACCTCACCCACAAATAACTTTCCTCAATTGGCTGCATTGTGTCCTGAAAGAACGGGCGCAACCAAGCAGAGAATATACCGGCATACACTCACCCCTCTTTTACGAGTAAGAGGACATTAAAAAGTTATAAAATCGAAATAGCTGAAAAGGGTATTCGGTCTCGAAGGCAACGGGCTCGCTTATGTTACGGAAGGCTTAATAAAATTTACGCAAAAACCGCCTCAAGAAAGTTTACCGGTTGCATTCGATACAAAAACTCACATATATACTATCCGATCCTGGGGCGTAACATCGTTTTATATAGCTGGAGTTTCTTGTTTAGTAGGTATATATATCTTTCGTTTATTTAAACACCTGCAGGAGATATAACTTAAAATGCTATACATGGGATACAATGGCTGTCCATCACTTACTTAAAGTAATTACGATAACTTCATTGTCAGTACTTTAAAGAAATCAGCAAATAAAAAATAAGAGGTCCGAAAGATAGATTTTAAAAACATGACGTGTTAAACATATCGTGGCACTCAGGTAAAATATAAGTAACTGTGATATGTTTTCTATTTTGCTTAAGATGTATAACATTTTAACCTGAGAGATTTAAGTCAGATCATCAAAGGCGGAATATCTTTATAAAAGCCTCCCGGATGGACTAGTTCTTTCCCATTGTGTTAGCAAGGTGTTAAAATATCAAATGACATCACATCAGCCCCCTTCTCCTGACCTGACAAAGGTCATCCTACCTTCCACCAGTTGGCTCAAAAGGAAACACCACCGGAATTCATCATATCAATAATGGTCTTTCCAAACATCGTGTTTTATTATGGGTCATCAGCTTTTATAAATTTTTAAGTTGTCTATTATTAATTTATCCTTATTAAGGTCTTTTGTCACCCCCCTTTATCCGTGGCCGGGCATGACCCCCTTTTTGGGTCACGACAGACTTTCAGCGGCCCAAGCTGGTTTGTCCCGTTGTCAGACAGCTGCCGGGTGGCCGTACCAGTGATGCCGTGGCTTGGGGGCTAGATAGCTAGGTCTTGTCAACATAGTAGTTTGTAGTGCATTAATGAAAGCCTAGCCATAGTGAGGACAATGGGTGGTGTGAAATTGTAGCTCAGTTGTATCTATTCGTACACCCTTGTGACAAATTGAGGCCAGGCATCGAGATTTCCACCGGGGACTAGAAGGATCTACCAGACTCTCTCTCACACACACACACATGTGCAAATTCGTATATATATTTAATTGTGTAAGAACAAACCCGTCTACCGATACAAATTCACGCCTTGTACAGCAGCAGCTTCTTAGCAGATAAATGTGTCGTGTCTTGTTTCAACAGTTATATTTGAATATGTTGATCGCTTTTCAAATCAAAATGAATGTTTCGACCCTTTTTACTGGCATTGTTTGATAAACATTCTCTTAAATAATTAAACATTTTAGCTGATATGAACCAGGGACAGTATACGTCCCTGTATGAACATTCCAAATTCGTACATAACCTAACCAATTCACACTGCCTCTTATGTTCAGTTCTAAGTCGTTTAGTTGAAGTACTAACATGCTTTTATCTTATATAATTTTGCTAAAAATATATAATCTATATATCTGTATCTTGATTCATAATTCACATCTATTGATCATATCAAACGTTTTGGACACATACTAGTGTCTTTTATTAAACTTTTTAAAAACAACTTTATAATGATATTCGATTTGTCAAGATAAAGACAATTATTACTTACGCTACAAAGTGAGGAAGTAACTATATAACAGATGAGTGGTGTCGCAGATCACGATTTGACTTAAATCTTCCGTTTATGTAGTATAAGGAGTTATCCAGTGTGTTTGATAGGGGCAGTAGCAGTGCTTTATGCATTGATCCTCATATATACGGAAGTATTTCGTTTTTATTAAATTTGATTAAAATACCTTTGTATGTAATGCAATACTGAATGAACCGAAACACGATGTAATACTTACCGGGAAGAATATGGGTTGTTTCTACACTGGTTTCGCATCCTTTTTAAAGGGTGATGGAGGTCAGTATGTCTTTTGTTGTGTTTCGGTATCTCCTTAGTTCCTGTTGCAATATGTTTGTGTCTATCCTTATTTCCTGGTTTTTCTTTCTATGTGTTGAAATACAGGTATATTCGTTTTCTATTTTTTACATGATGTATCTATTACCAAATGTGTGTATATGTGTTAGCTTCATCTTACTAAACGCGAGAAAAAGCTAGCTTGTAGATTGTTTTATAATTGTATCATTTCTGTAATAATTAAGAAGCGAGGTCACGTCAACTTTATTCTTTATGGTTTTACCGGTAAAGACTAAGTTCCAGTTTGCAAATATAATGTTCAGCCTTACCAGATATGATTCGAATATCAACTCAGATTTAAAAGAAATGCTGCTTCTGTTAAAGAAAATCCTGTTTTGTATTTTTGCTATTTCTGATATGCAGATCATATATATTTGGTATCAATGGAGATCTCAAGTTTACAATATTAAATTGTGTTTTTACAAGATTCTACTAGAATCATATGCAAGAATATGTTATAATTCATATTTATGAATTAATTGAACATATACGTAGAGTATCATTACAAGTCAATACCATTAACATACACAGGCTATGCATAATGTGTTAAATACATTAAATGCGGTTTCACAATATATTTTCAGTTAAATGTATATATATATCAAATGCAATATTACCCATGCCCACCTCGGAGTATATCAACATGCATGATTTATTCGCTTTTAAATTTTATAGAAAAACTGAAAAAAAACCTAAAAAAAAACTGAGAACGTGTCTGTACCACACACCTGAGTGATAACCACCAGGTACTAATTAGACAGGTGAGGCGCGGTAGGTCACGTGCAAAAAAGGACGGCGATAATACTTATATCCGGAAGTAATCGAAGCTCGTCTTACCGTCCGTATCGTGTATCTAGCAATTGTGCGTATATTATTGCTGGATGTGTTATGATTGTTTTGCACATGCACGCTCAATATATTCTGTCACATGCTCAAGTTGCGTCACGGGCAACGCGACCCTCTATCACCGGTAATATGAGATTCTATATTAACTGTTTAATGTTTAAGGCTATGTGAACTGGTCTGTGCTTGATGAAACACGAATTAAGAAATACGAATCTGAGTAGAATTATGTCTGCTGTATCAGGCTAGGTTGATTGTGGTTTTAAATAAGCTTTTAGATTACAAAGGGTCAATGGTAAATGACTTAAGACGTTATCATCACCTGTTGGATTTTATTTCTAAATAACTCTACCATCGATATTTGTTTTAGTTTGTTGTTAATACTGACAGTTTTATCAAAATGGTTGTCATTGTTGTTGTTTTTGTTGATAAGAAGCTCTGAAATGAAGTGTAACTTTCAAATATTTAAATGTTTTGAATTTAAATTTTGTCATAACATCACATCTGCGTGTTACTTTACTACAGTTTTTTTTTTATATCAGATCCACTGAGTGGGTTTGATTATGTGATTCATCACACAGCTTTTAAACACCCATGATAAGTGCTACTTATTACGCCATTAATTGCCTGCTAGATATACGAGACACAGTCCGAAGCATCTGCTGGCTTTTAGACAAATAACTTGTCCAATCAGACGAGCAGAACGCACGTGGTCAATTTTGTTTTTAAACATACAGCCACTACAAGCGTGTCTAGTCCTATCTAATGTGTTGACTTCTCCCATTACCTACACCAAACACATACAATGACATCGCGACATCATTATCGACATAACTATGGAGTGGAACCTCAGCCTTTGAGTCAGGTTGGGTGCAAAGGTTTTAGCACTAAACACACGTACATTGCATGAGAATAAACCGTTAAGCAATAAAATCAATACTTGATTAAACTTTGTAGTAGCAACTTTGATGATGTTTTCATTTAATTTGCCTAATTATAAATAGCATCATCTGATGAACTCGTCGGATTGTTTCTTTTATCGATTTTATTCAATAAAACGACAGACTAAACACACACAAACAGACAGCAATGAAATGGGAAGCGCACTCATATCATTATAGAAATGGTGGTTAAAGGAAGTACGTATTCCACTAAATTTGTTACTAGGACTGTGACATTTTAACAGACATTATACATGTAAATTTATCTCATAACTGTAATATTTTGACTCTTCTTTAATATTACCACTGTGTGGCATAATTTCACGCAATTTGACGTTCCAATATTTTGTGACGTCACACTTTTATTACGACACACCGTCTTACTTACACTTTCAAATATAAAGGTCATGGGACTCATCTGTTATCCATCTCGTGATGATATCATAATGTTTGATATCTTATCTCGTGAGGATAAAAAAATGTATTTGTAAACTTGTTATGTTGGCATTACTCGTTCAGTTTCCAATCTATATATCTATATGCTATATAACTTTCTTTGAATATCTAACACGAATGTCATTATGTATACCCACCTATCTTATGTCGAAGTGGTTTCGTCTGATTTCGACTTACCGAGGACTCGTTGTAAATATAAAGCTTCTAAG